ACTTAGGATTGCTCTGTCTCTGTCTCTGATAATTTTCTTTATTCCCAAGTTCTTTTTTGTTTTTGTTTTTGGTACCAGGGATCGAACTCGGGTTCTTGTGCTTGTGCAGCAGGCAGCGAAACCACTGAGCTAAATCCCTGGCCCTGTTTTTTTTTTTTTTTTAAGGTACCAGATCTGATGAATGAAGTCAACAAGGACACACTGAAATGATTTTAGGAGCTGCCTTTTCATCGGATGGCAATGGACCGAAGCATTCACCTATGTTTGTTTTTTTTTTGGTACTGGGTATCAAACTCGGGACCTTGAGCTTGTGCGGTGGGAGGGGCACCACTGAGGTAAATCCCCGGCACAAAATCTCTTAAAACTCAAAACAACCCAATTAAAACATGGACCACTGTAAAATGATTTTTTTGTTTTGTTTTTCAGTACTGGGGATTGAACTCATGTAAAATGATGTTTTTAATTCTATAGGAGAACAACTCATAATACTAAGTCTTAGAAGAAGCCTATGTGTCCATCAACAGATGAATAAAGAAAATGTGGTGTTTACACACCACGGAGTACTACTGTGCCATAAAGAAGGACAAACTTGAGTCATTCGTAGGAAAATGGATGCATTAGACCATAATGTCACATGAAATAAATCAGACACATGAGCTTAAATGCCACATGGTTTCTCTTACATGAGAAACCTAAAGTATAAATAAAGAGCAAAAGAAAAAAAAGGCAGATAACAGGAAGTAGAGAGAGAGTTCGTCTGCAAAGGAGAAGGGGGTGAAGAAATGGAGAGACGGAGAATGAGGGAGGGGATGGAGAAGAACCGAGACACGTCACGCACCTGGGCCGACTCCACACAGTCAAGGGAAGTAATCATCACATACTGTAAACATGGACTTCGGAAAATCAGTTTAAAAAAATGGACCAAACACCTGTGATCCCAGCACTTGGGAGGCTGAGACAGGAGGATCTCAGCGAGTTCAAGGCCAGTGTGAGCTACATAGCGACAAAAACCAAACCAAAAAGGGGGCCATGATCTGAATGGACACCCGCCAAAGAGACACAGAGACAGGAAGTAAGCACGAGGAAAGATTCCCCACATATCTGTCATCAAAGAAATACAAATAAGAGCAACAGTAGCATAGAAAGCGGCACACGCAGTGCAACTTTACTTGTACCAGGTGCAGGAATGGACCAGGCTGGCCTTTGCTGCCAGGAGTCTGGGTACCGATGACCCTTGGGACGTGAGGAGTGACCACGCGGGGCCTGGGTGCTGGATTCTTCCATGTCAGGTCTCGTGATGTGTCCAGTTCGAAAATTCGCCAGCCCAGGCTGGCCTCACACTCATGGTGATCCTCCTGCCTCAGGCTCCTGAGCACTGGTTTACTGCTATGCGCCACCACACCCCAGCTCCTAGTTACTCTTGGGCCTCACTGAGCCTCAGTTTCCTCATCTGTACAATGGGATTAACAGTATCGCAGGCAGGCAGCATGGAAATATGTCAGTGCCACTGTAAGCACACAGGAAATCGATGCTTCCTGTTAACTAGTCTTTTCGTTTTTTGTTTGTTTTTGGTTTTTGAGACAGAGTCTCACTGTGTAGTTCAGGCTGGCCCTGAGCTCACTATGTACCCTAGGCTGGCCCCAAATTCTCAGTGATCCTCCTGCCTCAGCCTCCTGAGTGCTGGGATTACAGGCATGTGCCACCACTCCTGGCTGTCCTTTTGGTGACTGAGCCAGGCTGGTGGTGGGGACACTGTCTGCTCCTGGGCATGGCCTGACCACAGGAACGAAGTGCGCGTGAACCAGGCCAACTGCTCCAGAGAGAGTTCATCTGAGTGCAGCAGGGGGTGATGGTGCTTCCCAGAGACTGATGAGGGCACTGGCACCTGCTGGGCCTCGGGGGAGACAGGCAGTTAGGGGGTGAACAGTGAGCTGGGGAAACAGAACCCTTCCTAGAGAGCAGGTCCTTCACTATCTCAGGGCAATCGAGACAATGGTGAAACTTTAAACAGCGTCTCAGGTGGGCAGCTTCTGGGAGGAACCAAGCCTCTCGCAGTCAGGAGGTCCAGGCTGGGCTCCAGAACACCCCAAGCCCTGTAGCCTTGCATGTGAGGACAGAGGTCACTGATGCAGACCCGCCTGCTCCTTCAGGGACAACCCAGTCATCAAACTTGGTTTAATTTCAGCCTACACCACTCAGGAGCTGTGTGACTGCAGGTGGGCCAGTCAACCTCTCTGGTCCTCATTTTCTTTAGTGTTTGTTTTGAGGTTTAAGCAGATTTCCTCTGCACGCAGAGTAAAATCCGAAACATCATCCAAGGCCTCCTTCTCATAAGGATCTGGGCCCAACCCCACAGATCTCAGCTCCTTGTACACTTTGCTGTTCTTTCAGCAATCAAGCTCATGCTCACCCCAGGGCCTTTGCACTGTCAGCTTCCCTGCCTAGAATCCTTTCTTGGCAGACCTGGTGCAGCAGCTTGAGCTCAGCCAAATATCTCAGCCACCTTGGCGTTTCTCCTCCTGTCTGTCTTCCCAGCACTTGCACTGAGTGGGAAAGCTGGATAGTGCGTTTGTTTTCCTTCTCCCCCTGTCTTCCACACATTCTAAGAGCTAAGAGCTGTAGAGAACTGAATGACACCCAGAAGGCAGGAAGCTGTGAATGCGGCCTTAGCTGGAAAAGGGTCTGCTGATGCAGTCAAGGTAATGACCCTGAGATGAGAGGACCATCTGCCTTTGATGGTCTGGGCAGGCCCTTTCTAAGCCACACAGAGGCCGCGAGGGCAGCGGCAGAGACTGGCCAGAACTTCTGGCCACCCAGTTAGTGGTAATTCTAAACTGTAAGCTAACACAGGGAGGGAGCTTGTCCGCAACTCCGGAAACACCTCATGTACTCAGGTGCACCCCCTGAACACTCAGATACACAGGCAGGAGGGTCCCCCTGCTCCTGCGCAGCCAGTGTGACAACATATCAGGCCGCCATGGGCTCTCTCCAGAGGGTGCCCGCCTGGAGGCGCTGCTACCCGATGGAGACTGGCAGGGAGGACGGGTCAGGCCCGTGTCACAGGTCACCAGGGTGTTCCTGCTCCTGCCGGATATGGGGCTTCTGCGGCCAGAGTGGTGGCTGGCAGCTGGGCTTCCTACAGCGCAGGGAGCTGTCACTTGCAGCCACCCTCCTGCCCACGCTGAGCCATGGCGGGGGTGGATCCGGGACCCCAATTCCCTACGGGGCGCCTCAGTCCTGAACGACGGGGCTTGCAGACCTGGGTCTGAGGGTGCACGGGGGACAATAATGGGGACCCCAGGGCACGGTCGCGCTGGAAAACACCAGCGCAATACTTATCTCGCACTGCGGTTGTGCTGAACTAGCACCGGCTCCAGACGGGAGGTGTGGCCACCCGCAGACCGCGCCCAAGGCCCCACCCTCGTCACACCCTTCCGGTTCGCCGGAAGTCGTGCGGGCCGGACCGTTTTCGGGAAGACGACGCTGCGTAAGGGCCAAGTTTTGAGCTTTTGGCTAAGGCTCGTGGGGCGCGGGGCAGGGACCCGGAGTAAAAGCTAAAATTGAGCTCAGACGCACAGATCTGACGGTTCCTCGGGAACAAGGTCGGACCACAGAACTGTCCTGGCTTCCTCGTGAGGGAGTTCCTAGCTGAAGGTGGGGGCAGCGTTTAAAAGGCTTTGTAGGACTGAGTCCCTACCTATCCACGTCTGACTTAGCTCCCTACAAAGTGTCCCGTGGTGGGGAAATCCCGAGGCAGAAGGTGGGGGCCGCGTGCCCTCTTCGTTCTTTTCTCCTCTGGGGAATTTAGAACGGCCCCTTGGCCGCTGGCTCCGCGTCGCCTTCGGTTGAGGGCATACCCCGAAGTGGCCCTTCCGAATCCGCCGGGACGGTGCGGCGCTTCACCATGGCGACGGCCGGGGTCCGGCGCCGCTTCTGCCGCTGCGCCTGCTTCAGCACCGAGAACCTGTACGTGGCGCGCTATGGGCTGCACCTCCGCTTCCTAGACGAGCAGCAGCTGCGCCAAGACTACGGCCCTGTGAGTGATCCCTGCTGGCTCTCGGGAGAAGTGGACAGGATGGACGAGGGATCGTTGTTTTCGAGATGGCGGGGTCGGATACGACAAGAACGACTTTCCCCCCAGTGACTTGGTTTCCCCATCTTAAAGGGTGGATAGCCTCTCCGCAGTGAGTTGTCTCGAGAAGAAATGCGTGAACTCACGTGTAGGCTGCTCTGCTGGTATTGGCGGGGCAGCTGGTAACTTAAGGTCACCTCGGATGATCCTGGCTCGTCCTGGCTCCCATCTCCATTTTCAGGAGGGTAACGGAGGCTCGGGGACATCACGGGACTTGCCCAAGGCCACACAGTCACACTTACTGTCTGTCTGTCTTCTTTCAGATCCTGCACAGCCGAGGCTGTGTCAGCAACGAGGACTTCCAGCAGCTCTTAGTGGAGGTAACACTCCGTCCCACGCCTCAGCCTTCCTTCTAAATTTGTGTCAGGCGACTGCGGGTCTCGGAGCCTCAGTTCCGAAGCTCCACTTCCTGCTCCCACTAACCCCTACTCCTGTGTCCGGGCACAAGGAGGGAAATTGAGGAACCACAAGTTGTCAGGCCCCTCTTGACAGCCCTGTGAGATAGGCATCGCCACACCCTCGTTTTGGGAGGAGAAGCTGAGGCTCAAAGAAGGCTCCCCTGCCTAAGGCCCCAAGGCCTCACAGTGCGTGGAGCTGAGATCTGGACCCCTGTGCTCTGCAACCCTTTTGGGCCCTGAGGCTGATGCCAGGGCTGGTGCTGCTCACCTCTCACCTCCTCCCCGGCCTGGACAGGGCTGGACCGTGACTCTGTTTCCTCCCTCTCATCCCAGCCAGGCTGGGGCTAGAGCAGCCTAGAGTGGGATGGGCACCCTTCTAGAAGTCCCATGTTGGAACTACAATCCCAGCACTCTGGGAGGCTGAGGCAGGAGGATCATAAATTTTAGTCCCTCCTGGGGAACTTAAGGAGACCCTGTCTCAACATAAAAAAATAAAAAAAGAATTGGTAATGTAGCTAAGTTAAAAAAAAGTCCTTTCAGTTAAAAGTTTGGTACTTGCAGTCAAGTCTGATAGATTCAGAAATGTAGAGGGTCATGGTTTCCAGCCTGCATGCCACTCTGACCTTCCTGGGCCTCAGTTTTTTCATCTTTACAATGCTTCAGGGGAGTGGGAGGCCCTTCATGGGTGCTAAGTGGGCTCTGTGCCACCCCAGCTTAAGCAGGAGGTGGCGCGGAGGCGGCGGCTGGGACAGGACTCAGCTGCCAGGAAAGCCCTCATTGTGAGCTCCTACTGCCCAGTACGGCCCAACATCTACAGTGCACTGCAGGTACCAGGCAGGGAGCCCGGGCTGGTTTCTGGGCGGAGGTGGGGTGTTTGGGCCCCTGCAGCTGGCATGTTCTCCCCAGGATGCAGCTCTGGCCCCCGAGTTTCTGGCTGCAGCTCAGTACAGTGTGTCCCTGGGTGCAGACCTTGCAGGTCTCCTCCAGCGGCTGGAGACGGTGTCGGGTGAGGTCATAGCCCTGAAGCCTAGCAGGATTTGGGGTGGCAGCCAGAGATGCCTGGGCATGGGAGACTGGGGTCGCTTTGCCTGTCATGTCTGCCCTCAAAACCCAAACCAGCAGTAGCTGGAAGGGCCAATGGGACCAACCTGCAAGGAGTGGGAAGGAGGCCTGGAGTGAGAGGGGAGGGCCCTCTCTGCCCCCGTGGAACTGAGAAGCAGCAGGCTGAGCAAAGGGCGAGCAAGGCTGCTCTTGGGGGGACTGCAGCCCAGGCCTGCGCCCCGCCTGAGCTCCCAGCCCGCCGTCTGTCTGTCCTGCCGCAGAGGAGAAGCGCATCTACCGTGTGCCCGTGTTCACGGCGCCCTTCTGCCAGGCCCTGCTGGAGGAGCTGGAGCACTTCGAGGAGTCGGACATGCCCAAGGGAAGGCCCAACACCATGAACAATTACGGGGTGGGTGAAGCCTGCTCTGCTTGCTGGAGGAATGGGGGTGGCTGGGGTAGGGAGGCATAGTGGGGTGCTGCAAGGTGAGCACTGAATGGTGCCCTTCGGAAGAAACATCTGCAGGGATGCAGGATGAGGCCCCTGTGGCCTCTGCTGACCCCAGGGACCCCGCCCAGGTGCTGCTGGATGAGCTAGGCCTGGATGAGCCGCTGGTGACGCCACTGCGGGAGCGCTTCCTGCAGCCCCTGATGGCCCTGCTGTACCCAGACTGCGGCGGGCCCTGGCTGGACAGCCACCGTGCTTTTGTGGTCAAATACGCGTGGGGTCAGGACCGGGAGTTGGGCTGCCACTATGATAACTCGGAGCTCACCCTCAATGTGGCCCTGGGCAAGGCCTTCACAGGAGGCGCCCTATACTTCGGGGGGCTCTTCCAGGTGAGTGCACCCCATGGGGCAAGGATGGGAGCAGCATACCTGTGGGTGCACAGGCCTGAGCCCTGCCATCTGCAGGCACCTGCAGCCCTGATGCAGCCCCTGGAGGTGGAGCACGTGGTGGGCCAGGGTGTCCTGCACCGGGGTGGCCAGCTGCATGGGGCCCAGGCCCTGGGCACTGGCGAGCGCTGGAACCTCGTCGTCTGGCTCCGGGCCTCTGCTGTGCGAAACCGCCTGTGCCCCATGTGCTGCCGGGAGCCGGACCTGGTGGACGATGAGGGCTTCGGTGACGGCTTCACCCGGGAGGAGCCCCCCATGGTGGATGTGTGTGCGCTGACTTGAGCAGTTTGGCTTAGCAGTGGGGAGGGGCTGGCAGGGAAGGTGAGGGCTTTGCCACCTTGGGCCAGGAGGGGAGAATAAATTCCCTGCAGCCAAGGCACTTGGATCAGCAGGACACACCGGCTTCTAGGTCATTCTGTGGCAGACAGGCTGGCTCAGCACAGATTCACTGGAAGCAGAGCTAGTGTGGCTTCATGGAGGGGGAACCTGGAGAGGTACGAGTCCTTTCACCCAGAGCGGGTGAAGGGCAGGGATGGAGCCACTGGCCTGGTTCATTCACTTCCGACTGTGTGGCTGTGGATGACACAATGGGCCTGTGTGTGCTCTGGGCGCTGTGGTGAGGATCCGGTGAGTTAGAGCTTATAAAGTGCTTTGTAAGAGCCTTCTGTTTGCTGCTGTCATTATTTGAAGGGGAGGGGGGCTCAAAAATCGGATGAGGCACACGCAGCCTTTATTGGGGTTGCACATTTGAAGACCAAGGCATTTCCACTTTGACATCTCGGGTTCGGGGGTGAGACAAAGTCCTGGAAACACCAGGCCCAATTCCCACGCTGCGGAAACGAACGAGAGCAGTTTCTGAACAGGCCTGCAGTCCACACAACTGCTGTCATTGCCTCTCTGGCTCCTCAGCGACACCTGGTTTTGCGACCTCCATTACTGGGTGGTGTTAGAATGCCCAGGGCGCCTCAGCCTGGAGCTCCTGGTCGGCGCTTCTTCCCAGGTATGAGAGGCTGTAGTGCAGGTGCGCGAACCCAGGGCAATCTGGAGGAGGGGGCAGCGGCTGCAAAGAGGCGCGAGAGGCCTGGGGGCTCGAGGGTCAGCTGCAAGCTGGACTGCGCTGCCTCATCACCGCCTGGAAAGCAGAGGCCCAAGTCCCTAGCTCCCCCCTGAAGGAGGAAGGCGCTTCGGCCATGGAACCCGTGCCATCGGAACTGAAGGCAGCAGCTCCTTGCTTCCCATCCGGACAGCCTACCGGTGCACCGACCCAGGCCGGAAATGGTCTGCCCGCAACCTTGCTGTCGCCTCACGCAAAGGCGTGGTGAAGGCTGGCGGTCGGCCCCGATGGGCAGTTGAGGAGAATTCACAGCATCTTTAGGGTCCTTCTTGAGGCCGGCGAGGACGTAGAGGGCGCCAAAAAGGACTCAGGGCGATTCTCAGGTCCGTTCCCTGGGTGGGGTGGGGGGGCACAGCATGGGCCGCACAGGCGCGGAGAGTCTGGGCGCGGGGCTGGGCCCTTTAGAGGGGCCGCGACGTAGGGTCCCAGAGTCGGCTGAGAAGTTGGGATCCTCGGGGGCGGGGGGAAGAGCACGGCTCGGTTCTCGGGCCAGTAATGGGTACTGGGCGCCCCGAGGACCGGCCCATCGGCGCTGCCCCGGGCGCCCAGTCTGCGATCTGGCCCTTGCGCAGCCAGCGTAGCGCGTCCCGTTCCGTTTCCAGCTCCCGGCGCTATGGCTCACGTCGGCTCTCGCAAGCGCTCGAGAAGCCGCAGCCGGTCCCGAGGACGAGGGTCAGAAAAGAGGAGAAAGAAAGGCATTAAGGACGCTTGGAGAAACTGCACGGCTTCTGGATCCCAAGGTCGCAGGGCCAGCACTGCCTCGGGGCCGGAGGGTGAGGACCACGGGGTGGGAATGGGTGCAGGGAAATGGGGGGTGCAGATTGTCGAACCTGGATTGGGAGACCCGCGGAAAGGGAGGAGCTGGGCCCCACTGGCCCCCTGAGTCTCCCAGTGCAGCCCCGAGTCCGCCCCAGGCCAAAGCGAGGGGACAGACGTTTACTTCTTGCCCTCCCGGCCTTCCAGCCTCACCTTCTCCCTGCATCACAGAGAGAAGCAAGCACAAGCCCCGGAGGAGACCGCGATCCAGCTCCTCCTCCTCTTCTTCCAGTTCTTCTAGCTCCTCTTCTTTCTCCTCGTCCTCCTCCTCTTCCTCCAGCGATGGCCGGAAAAAGCGGGGGAAACACAAGGACAAGAAGAGGAAAAAGAAGAAAAAAAAGAAAAAGAAGTTGAAGAAGAAAAGCAAGGAGAAGATGGAGGTTCAGCAGGCCGAGGCTCTGCCTGGCCCCTCGCTGGACCAGTGGCACAGATCAGCTGGGGAGGAAGACAGTGGCCCAGGTACCCCAAGGCCTAGGCTCAGGAGGGGAGGTCCACTCCCAGGCCTGCCCAGCACTGCCTCCCGCCTTCCTTTCCAGTCCTGACAGACGAGCAGAAGTCCCGCATCCAGGCCATGAAGCCCATGACCAAGGAGGAGTGGGATGCACGGCAGAGTGTCATCCGGAGGGTGGTGGACCCCGAGACGGGACGCACCAGGTGGGGAGCACTCCGCACAGCCAGGCCCTGCAAAGCACCTCTGGGAGAATTGGCCCAGGACACCGCTTTTGGGGGTGGAGGGTGCAACTGCTCCAGAAAGGCCAAGGATGGGGAAACATGTGACAGCTCAGCCATTCATCCCGGAGCCTGGCATGAGCAGCTGCAGGGGCTGGAAAGGCCTCACGGAGGCTCCTCAAGTGGCCGCTGTTCCCTGGGCTGCCAGTGTGGGGTGCCAGGGCACAACCTGCCTGGGCCACCTCTGCCCCTGTCCCGGTGGTTTGGGGCCTGTCACTGCCGATGGGCTCAGCCTGTCCCGTGCTGAATGGACCCTCTGTCCACAGGCTCATTAAGGGAGACGGGGAGGTCTTGGAGGAAATTGTAACCAAAGAACGCCACAGAGAGATCAATAAGGTTGGTGTTGCCCCTCTGCCCACCGTCTCGGTCTCCCCTTGGCTCTGTTTCTTTTTTTTTTGGTACCGGGGATCGAACTCGGGTCCTTGTGCTTGCAGGGTAGGCGGTGGAACCACTGAGCTAAATCCCCAGCCCCCCTTGGCTCTGTTTCTGATGTCTGCCCCTGTTTCCTCCTCAGCAAGCCACCCGTGGGGACGGCCTGGCATTCCAGATGCGAGCGGGCCTGCTTCCCTGAGGCCCCACTGGCTGTGGCCTGGAGATGGCTGTGGGCAGAGGCAGGAGCTGGTAGCCTCTGGCAGGTCCCTGGCCTCCTTGGTGCCTGTGTCTGGAAGAGTGCCCGGGCCTGGCATTAAATGTCACTTGGCCACAGACTTCCTCTGTTTCGTTGCTGCATTTGCCGAGGGTTAGGGAGGGTGCTGCATACCTTCCAGGGAGAAATGGGCTCCAGCAGCTCTGGGGGGGAGCTGCAGTGTCCACTGTGGCTGTGAGTGAGCCAGCCGAAGCCCCACCCCAGCCCCAAGGGTGATACGGATCATGCAGAGAGGAGCCTGGGCCAGGGCCCTGGGGTTGAGGTTATCCTGGTTCCCGCTTACTGGCTGGGCCCCTTGTAAAGTGGAGAAGCCACAGAGCCACCTCCCAGGCAGACCTCACTGTGTGCAGCACCTCAGTGACTGCAGAGATGGCCCCTCCCCTCCTGGGGCCAGGACAGGCCTCCCCCCCACTCCCACTGGGAGCCCACATTAAAGAGACCAAAAGGAAGCCTTCCTGCTTCTTTAATCGGTGTAACAGACAGCGACGCTGAATACAGAGCACACTCAGGCTGATGATACAGGGACAGCAGGGTGGGGTCAGGACACTGCTCACACATGGCCCAGAGAGAGACAGCACAAGGACAGAAGGGAGGGGCCAAGATGTGACGACTGCGACGGTGGGCAGCGAAGACCCAGCCAGTGAGGCAGCGTCTCTGTTGAATCCCTCTTTAGAAATCAAAGAGAAGGCAGGTGGTCGAGCCGGGTGTGGGCTTGGGTGGGAGGGACTAAGGCTTCTATCCTAACAGGCCTGGGTGGGAGTGGCAGTCGGGAAGGCCTGCCTCACCCTTTGGTTACGACTGGTCAGGCCTGAGCCCTGCAGCTCAGCACCCAACGCTGTAAACATTTTTGGTATTTTTAAAGGACTTTGCCCTCCCTCTTAGTTTCTGGAAACCAGTGCTCCCTCAGCGGGAGACTGTGCCAAAAGGAATCATGGGAGGCAGAAGCGGACCTGGACGGAGAAGAGACTTGGAGGGGAGGCTGCCATCTCACCATCTATGGCTGAGGGCCTTGGGGGAGGCCCAGGGGACTATTGCTGTTGTCCTTGGCATGGCTGGCAGCTGGGCAGGTGGGGGAGCGAGGAGCCATGGGGGCTGCCCCAGGGAGAGGCTGGCCCGCTGTCTGCCAGGCCTCCCACAGCTAGGCCCCCAGCCTTTATTGCAGGCCGCCTGAGGTTTCCAGGTGCTTCTCCAGATGGCTGGTCACCAAGGCGGAGGCAAGATGGGGCGAGGTGGGGCCAACAGAGGAGGTGGCACTGGCCACAGGAGCCCCTGGCTGGGGCTGTGATTGTCGGGCCAGCCACTTCCTGCTGGGGGGCAGAGGGGTCAGATATTGCACTTTCACTGCAACAGTTACCAGGGAACTTGGTCCATAAAATAATCATTGCTTTATGCACAATGCCTGCAACAACAACAAAAAGCTACATCTTAAATACGAATAAACCCTGAAGGTTCCTTCCCTCCAGTCATTTTTCTCTGCACAAAATAAATAGCTTTCCCTCTGTATAGGCCCACTTTTGCAGAACATTTACATGACCCTTTGGGTGTACATATCTACACACGGGAAAAGTCAACATCAGCCTGCGCACCTCGCTGGCCAGCCCGTGCAGCCCCAAGGCCATATCCAGGTTGGCAGCTTCTGGGACTGAGCCCGGTCGCCAGACAGCTGGCCAGGGCCAGGCAGGTGCTCAGACCCAGTGTGCAGGACAGCACGTCCTTGTCCAGGTGAGAAAGGGAGTCGTGGCTGCCTGCCCTTAAGCTAATGAAGCAAGCTGTGGCTTCTTAGATTTGCATCGAAACGGAACTGGCATTAAAAAAATCTTAAGTGTGTGCCCCACTCCCCAGAATAGAAATTCAGTGGAATTGGCAGGGGTCGGGTGAGGCAGGGAGACCACACCCCGCCTAGTGGGCTGGGGCCAGGGCCCCTGGGACCCAGAACCAGGCTGGACTCCGTCACAGTGCTGAGTGTTTAAAATGTGGAGGGGCTGCGCTTGGTACTGAAAGAGTTAAGAAAAGGAAGCAGCCAAGGATTGCTCAGTTAAAAAAACCTCATAGAAATCAGATTGAGTAGAAAGGCGTAGAAACGCGGGCAGGTGGGCGGGCGGGCAGGTGGGCCATGGTGTGGGCCTTGGCTGATGGCAGGCGACGAGCAGAAGAGGCGACCAGGCCTATCTGGTCCCCAAGCCCCAAGGTGTTTGAGAGCTGGCCCTGGGTGTCACTGGCCTCACACCTGGGCCGAAGATGACCCCAGGCCTATGCCTGGATTGGGCTCCAGGTGGATGGGGGGGGCAGGGACCTGGGGCTGCTGGGTGCTGGCAGGCCAGGCAGGGCTGCAGAAATTAAAATATGGCCTTTCTCTCCTGCTTGGACGAGGGCTTGCCACACCGGAACCTTCTGTGTGGTAAGAGGTCCTGGGTTAGCAGTGTTGAATTTCATGCATGTCACTGAGTCTAGCGACAGGAGATGGAAATGGGTCTCCACTCTCGAAAATCAGTGCAAAACCAGTGAGGTTGAACAGTTGAGAAACTTGAGTCAACAAGAAGCAGGCTGGACCCCTGTTGGAGCTGCTACCAGATGGGGGGGCATGGAACGGGACAGGGAGGTGGCAGGTGGGGCCAGGGCCCACACCTGGCACCAGGAGGCTGGAGATCAATGCAGGGTGCACTGTCCAGGAGGGCCTCCCGGCCAGGCCAGGCCAGGTAGGGCACCCTGGTGCCTCTGCATCCCGCACCATTGTCCTGCCAGCTTCTACGACAAGCTGGACCCCTTAGGCCCCAGTGTGGGGCAGGGAGGGGAGTGCTGGGTGGCACAGCCCATGTCTTCTGAGGGGCCCTAGGACAGTTTCCCAGGCTTTGTCGGTGCTCATCCCCAGCCGTCTGCGTGTGCTCAGGCTGGGCCTTCTGGTGGGGTGCCCTGGCCTAGCACCATGGAGACCACAGTGCCCACTGATGGTGCCCTACTTGGGGCCTGAGGCCGCCCCTGGCTCCAGCCGGCCAGTGATGGCACGGCCCCAGCAGCTGGCTGCCATGCTCATGCTGCGCTGGCCCCGCTGCTCGCTCTCCACCTGGCTCTGCGTCCGCTCGTGCCGGTGGCTGGGCCCACTGGGCTGGGCTGAGATGGTTCGGAGCAGGTGGTTCCGTGAGCGCAGGAAGTCGCCCTGGCTGGGGAGGCCGAAGCTGCCTTTGCGCAGTGCCATGCGGGTGGCTGTGTTGCGGGCTGGCCGCGCCCGGTGGTTGTACTTGAGCTGGGCCAGGTGGGCCGCGTAGCCGTCTGTAATGAACTGCAGGGGCAGTGAGGGGCTGGTGGTCAGGGGTTGGGGTTCCAGAGCTGCCTGCTGCCACCTTGGGCCTGACCCCCACTCACCTGGCACTGCTGCTGCAGCTTCTTGGTGGGCCGGCCCACGATGTAGATCTGCATAGGGGACAGGCTGATGGCGCTGTACACTGCCACATCCTTTGTGGAGCCGTAGGCCGCGTGCACGCGCAGGTGTAGCTGGGGGCGAGATGGCCATGGCACGGGGTTGCCCTCCTGCCCTCACCCTCACCTTTGCCCCCAGGCCACCCAACTCCGCCCCACCTCAGAGATGAGCAGCTTCAGGAAGTTGGCCTTGTGCCGCAGCGGGTCATGGACCAGGCCTTCGCAGAAAGATACCACGCCGTGGGGGAAGTTGTGCTGGGCCAGCCATGCCACCACCCGCTGCTTTTGCATGTCGGGCCGGCCCGTCACGTAGATGATGAGGTAGCCCAGGTCCTGCCAGTGCCTGGGGGCGAGGGTGGGCCTGGCCTCCACAGCTGCCCCTCCCTCCCTCCCCCATCTCCTGCCCGGCCTCAGAAAAGTGCACCTTTAATCAGGCTCAAATGACAACGAGGACAAGGATGGCAGTGATGGCAGACCCTCCCAGGGCACTTGCCTGCCCGAATCTGGAGTGGCACCCTCCCAGGTGCCCCACAAGAGGGCTGCCGCTAGCAGCTCCAGAGCTGGGACACTGCCCAGGGACACATGATCAGTGTTGGTGCTGGGCTCGGACCTCTGTCCTTCAGGCCCAGGGCCAAGTGCCCCCCTTCTGGCAGCACCAGGTCCCCCACCCGGCCTGCTACCTCCTGCCACAGTCCGCCCACCTTGTGCTAGCCACATCGTGCCCTGCAGGGCCACTCACCGCACCACGTCCACGGCCCCGGCCCGCACCTTGGGGTCACTGCCCATGATGGACACGCTGGCGGCAAAGGAGCCGTCGATGCTGAAGACCACGAACTCTGTGCCTTTGGGCAGCACAGTGATGTAGCTGTCGGCAAACGTGTGGTCTCCCCTGGCCATCGGGGACAGCTTGTCAGTGCCAACCAGAGCCCCTCCTCCTGCCCCCAGGACGCTGGCCCTGTCCACTCCGTGCAGTGCGTACCTGACCACCATCTTGATGGGGTAGACACCCACCCCTAGGCGGTGTGACTCGGGGATGGTGTAGGACACGCGCCCGCTGCTGTTGGTCACCAGCGTGTCCAGGTAGACCCACTGGCCGGAGGGCGGCTGGACCATGATGTGCACATCCACCTGGGTCCAGGTGAGCTGGTCATGTGCTGGCTGTCCCCCGGCCCCGCTCCCTGCACCCGAGGCCCCATGTCCTCACCTTCTCTCCAGTCAGGGTGACCATGTCTAGGGGCCCGTACATGAACCGGCCGGTCACAACCTGCGGGCCATCCTCATTGGCAACTGCATCGTTGATCCGGTGGTTGGCTGTCACGTTCTGGGGAGGGGGGCGGGGGGGGTCAGAGCGGGCGAGGTGGGGCCAGCATGGACTCAGACCGGGCGCCCAGCCCGGCGGCCTGGCCTTGGAGAAGGAGCCTCGCGGACTCTGAGTCCCCAGCCACAGTGGATAACTGAGAGCCGGCTTCTCCGGACTCAGTTTCCTCTTCTGCGGTGTGGGGCTTCCTGTGGGGACTAAGAAGGACGACAGCCACGGGCCCCGGAGCCCAGAGGACCCCTCACCCGAAGCTTCACGTGCGTCCTCTTGCGCTGCCACTTCTCTCTGGGCTGCGAGGGGGTGAACACCGACACCTCCTTGCCATCCAGC